CCCAGTGTCTTATGTCCATTGGTTATGCTTATATGCACGCATACAAGTCCTTCAGTTGATTTCCTACCCCCCTCCCTCCTGCCCCCCGAACCCTCCCCGGCCTTCCTGCTGCAGTTTGACAATCTGTTTGAGGCAGCTCTGCCTCTGTATCTATTATTGTTCAAAAGTTTATAATGGTCTCTATTATCCATGAATGAGTGAGATCATGTGGTATTTTTCCTTCATTGACTGGCTTATTTCACTTAGCATAATGCTCTCCAGTTCCATCCATGACGTTGCAAATGGTAAGAGTTCCTTCCTTTTTAGAGCAGCATAGTATTCCATCGTGTAGATGTACCACAGTTTTCTAATCCATTCATCTACTGATGGGCACTTAGGCTGTTTCCAGATCTTAGCTATGGTGAATTGTGCTGCTATGAACATATGGGTGCATATATCTTTTCTGATTGGTGTATCTGGTTTCTTGGGATATATTCCTAGAAGTGGGATCACAGGGTCAAATGGGAGTCCCATTTTTATTTTTTTGAGGAAACTCCATTCTATGAAGCCAGCATCACCCTAATACCAAAACCAGGTAAAGACAACACAATGAAAGAGAATTACAGGCCAATATCCCTCATGAACATAGATCCCAAAATCCTCAACAAAATCTTAGCAAATTGTATCCAGCAGTACATCAGAAAGATCATACACCATGACCAAGTAGGATTTATCCCAGGGATGCAAGGATGGTACAATATGCGCAAATCAATAAACGTGATACATCACATAAACAAATTGAAAGAAAAAAACCACATGGTCATATCAATTGATGCAGAAAAAGCATTTGACAAAATCCAACACCCATTTTTGATAAAAACTCTCAGCAAGGTAGGAGTAGAAGGATCATACCTCAAGATAATAAAAGCCATATATGACAGGCCCACAGCCAACATTATACTCAATGGACAAAAACTAACACCATTTCCCCTAAGAACAGGAACAAAACAGGGATGCCCACTCTCACCATTCCTGTTCAACATAGTACTGGAAGTATTAGCCATTGCAATTAGACAGGAAGAAGAAATAAAAGGCATCCAAATTGGAAAAGAGGAGGTAAAACTGTCCTTATTTGCAGACGACATGATATTATACATACAAAACCCTAGAGACTCCATCAAAAAACTACTAGACTTAATACATGAATTTGGCAATGTAGCAGGATACAAAATTAACCCTAAGAAATCTGAGGCATTTCTATACACCAATAGTGAACTTTCAGAAAGAGAGATTATAAAAACAATCCCATTTACCATCGCACCAAAAAAATTAAGCTACCTAGGAATAAACTTAACTAAGGAGGTAAAAGACCTCTTCTCAGAAAACTACAGTACGTTGAAAAAAGAGATAGAGGAAGACATAAACAGATGGAAGAACATACCGTGTTCATGGATTGGTAGAATCAACATCATTAAAATGTCCATACTACCCAAAGCAATCTACAAATTCAATGCACTTCCCATTAAAATACCAATGGCATACTTCAGAGATCTAGAACGAACTCTCCAAAAATTCATCTGGAATAAAAAAAGACCCCGAATAGCTGCAGCAATTCTGAGGAAGAAGAACAAAGTAGGTGGGATCTCAATACCAGATATCAAGCTGTATTACAAAGCCACTGTTCTCAAAACTGCTTGGTACTGGCACAACAACAGACATATAGATCAATGGAATAGAATAGAGAGCCCAGAAATCGGCCCAAACCAATATGCTCAATTAATATTTGACAAAGGAGGCAAGAACATACAATGGAGCCAGGATAGTCTCTTCAATAAATGGTGTTGGGAAAATTGGACAGATACATGCAAGAAAATGAAACTAAACCACCAACTTACACCATACACAAAAATAAACTCAAAATGGATAAAGAACTTAAATGTACGGCAGATGTATTTTAATTGCATGATATATTTTTACAATAACATCCTTGGGTAAACATTCTTTGTTTTCTGTAAAATATTTTTGCCAGTAAATATTGGAAGTAATAAAAGAGGATTTTCTGAGATAATCCTTAATTTTTGAAATAAAATTATTTGTCTGCACATTTTGCACATTCATTCTGACTCTGTTTCTCTAGTTCACTGACAATAGTATTCACAGGAGTGACGAGAGAGCGGGTGTGACTACAGCACCAGGGTCCTGAGTGAGGAAGATAGAATGGAACATGGAAAGACAAAAGGCTAAGACCTTTCTCAGGGTGCTCCTTCATTTGCAGCTCATTCTGTTCAGGAATCCCAGGATCGCTTTCAATATCTAGTAAACTATGAAGAATTATTTAATAGAAGATAATCCTGATAACAATTCACCCTAGCAGATTTTTTATCATGTTTTTGCTCCCTCTTCCACACTCTTTGTAGATTCTGAATTTTGAATGGGGTCATCATTTTTCTATGGTCATATGGTTGCCGGAATGGGCAGTATTTGAAAAACATTTTTATTTATTAGTTTTTGTGAATAAAGTGCAAAATAAGAAAATATAACATTGAATAATTCATTTATTAACTTTTATTTGGAACAATAATTTTCAAAGGTTCATGAAACAGTGATGACATTGTCCTGTTAAATGGCTGTTTCAAATATTGGGATTTTACTGTCTCTCACTTTGCAATCCTAACTTTAAGATTCACCGAACCTACTTATTTACATTAAATTTGGGAGGAAAATACCAATTCAAAATGTCAAAGTAAAATTTTATATTGTGAAAATTCAAGAGTATATATTTTGAGCTAATAACTGGTAACACTGCATGCACCATTAAAAGAAAAGCATTGTATAAGGCACACCTGTAAATTACTACTTTGATTGTTAAGAGAAGCTAAACTATAATAAACAATGAACAGTTTATGAAAACTGATGAAGGAAACATCTTTTGGATTTAGTAACAGAAGAAAATAGTATTTACCAAGAGATCTCCTAATCATGATAGTGATTTCTGGGAAGCTTAAAATCTACCTCTCAAAAGTATATAAAAATTGACTGCATGCATTCTGTGGGCTAAACATTCTTTCCTTCATTTAATATTTGTGCTACATTTAGCTTTCAATCATCTTTCATGTATTCACTATGAATCATTGGTTTCATTTATTATTGAATTCTCTCATTAATCCTTCTTCATTCTTTAGAGTATGTTTAATTGATTCACATATTTACTTACTCAACAAATAAATAGTTCTTAGAGGGTGAAGGTTGACAATATAAAATTGGTCCGAAAATGTGTCATATGTCACATATATGTGCACCTTTATTCAGATGCATCATGTAGCTTTCATTTCATGCCCTGGTAGTTTTCTCTTGCTCCCAATTTTTTGATGCATGCAGGAGCTAAGTCAGCCATTCTGACACATCTGTAAACCTAGAAGTGGAGAGATTTAACATCCCATGTGGTTCACATGTTTTATTCTCTCACCTCTTTAAAGTTCTTGCAAAAACGATAACTTGTATTAAACTTATTTTAAATTGAAACTTGTATTCTTAATTTTTAACTCATTCTTAATTTATCACATGGGATTGTTAAGTTATATGGTAATAAACTCCAAGATGGCAAGAATATTAGTCTTCTTTGTTAACTATTGTCCCCTCATTGTACAGCAAATCGGTATATACACATATCAATGAATATTTCTATATGTCACCATCTGAATTTCTATTAAGCTAAATATGAATTTATGTTAAGGTTTCAATTTTTAGTCTATTACCATATGGATCATTCTAGACTCCTCTCCTAGTTTGTGTGTAACATCCCACTTAGGAGAAAAACCTAGCTCTCACCAACTGCTACTCATTTACTTAACTGTTCAATCCTGGTCTACATGTACAGTGGTTTCAGATTTGTTAACTCAATCAGTTCCCATGGGAAACAACTTTATCCATTAGAGTAGAGTTTTTATGTACAGTTCTATTTGACTTTATTTTTACAGATTCTACCCATTTCCATATTTCAGGTTGCATATTTTTCCCATCTATGTAGTGATCTTGTTTCATTTATTTTAATACAGCTAGATTGTTTTGTCATATGCTGCATCCTATTCTGGTATCTCTCAATTTCCTAAATAATTTTTTAAGTTTGCATACAAGACGTTTCATTTTTTTGTGCAGTAAAGGGTTATGTGCATAATGGCATGTATCCATCAATACTATAGCATACAGGATATTTTGACCACTTAAAAAAAACCTCTGCTCTTCACCTATTTAGCCTCTCTCATCCTAAAAACCTGTTAATCACTGATCTGATACCATCTCCATTGTCCTTATATTCTTTTTTATAAAGTAATATTTTTATATTTTGCTTAGTTATTTTAATAATATAAACATATCCAAAATTGGCAGTGCTTTGGTTAAAATATAATTTCTGAAATATGACAGACTCTCCCTTGATAACATATGATGTTTTCTCTAAATGTAATATAAATTTAAAGTAAATCAAGGGATTTTGGAAATAAAAATATCCTATTTATTAATCCATTCCCAGACCTTTTAAGCTCTGAACTGTAAATCACAAGTCATTAGGAATGCATTTTAAAATTGAGAAAACAGAGGATTGAAATATGTCTCTAGTATATCATTATAAAAAGTTGTAAAAAAAATAAGCTGATTTTAAATGGAGTGTGATATTCTGAACCAGGAAGAATTGGATTACATGCAAATGTTACAGAATATGATCCAAATTCAAGCCATGAAATATCCAGAATAAACATAGGTATAAATTCCTATAAGCAAAGAAGAGTTTATAGCACATTTTTTCTGTGAGAGTCAGGAAACAATAAGCACAATCCAAGAACATTATGTCAGATAATGAGGGCTTGTAACTATAGTATAGTCTTTGTTAATGAAGGCACTCATCCCTAAACAGGACAATGTTGGGGTTTGGCAGTAAAGAAAAGATGGAAGAATTAATAGAGCTTTGCAGGTTTTAACCAGTGCTTTTATAGCATGCTAATTCTATTTTACTCTCTTCTTTCCAGGGTTTAATTGCTTTAGAAAGAAATCTCAAGATCTGTGAATTAATTGAAATTTACATTATGGTAAAAATCCCTTGGTGAACATGGGGCGAAGAGGAGAGTTCCAATCATGTGTATACAAAATTTGTTTAGTGTCAAAAGGCACCATAAATTTTGCTAGGCACAATGAAGATTTAAAAGAGATCATTTCTCCCTTTAGGAAATCAACACCATTTGTCAGTGATAGAAAAGTAAATAAGCAACTACAAAATAATACAATAAATGCTATGCTAAAGTACTGTAAGATTGTTTATCTCCACTGGAAGCTTTTCTAGGAAGGCTGTGTTTTTGGTGGAAGTGGAGTTCTTGGTGTGCTGCAGGGAAAATAATTTCCTGAAGCCCCCATGGAAAGATGGGGTATTGTGATAGCTTTGTTGATGATTTAAAATTAAGGGGTTTCCCCTCAATGTTCCATCTCTGTTCATCATGCCATGGAAAAAATCCAATCTTGTCTTCAGCAGGCCATTAAGGCCATTGCCCATAGCTTCTGCTCTATGCAGCTGCTTAAGGCCACATGGATATGAAGAGAGAATAGGTGAGCACACAGGGCAAGTGCAGGTCACAAAGCAAGGGACTACAAAAGAGTAGGCTTCTTTGTATACACCTGTGATTCTGTATTCTCAGGTTTGGGAGGGACAAGAAAATTATTCAAAATAACTAATAAGCTTCCAAAATTTTTGCAGGCTTACATGGGGTCCCCTCCCTACCCCCAGCCAATGATCTCTTCCCCAGATTAGACCTACAGGCAAACACCTTCCTTCTATCATCACAACTGTGTGTGCACCCATCTCCCCCTGTGCCCAATCCCTTCCCCAAGTGCTCTACAGGAAATGGATGGTGGTTCCTTGGGGAGTGTGAAGCTATAGCTTCCCGGTGAAGCTGCCCAGATGATTATGTTTATAATGTCTGACCTCTCCTTTGCTCTCTTCCTACTATTAATGTTAATAACTTGCTACTTATGACAATAACAGCTGGACACCTTGTTATCTGAATTTTTTGATTTATTTTATACTAGAAGTGACCATGTTTCAAAAATGCATGATATACTGTGGTTCCCAGGAAGCACTGGAGCTACCTCAGCCAAAATTTATGTTCCCAAAATTAAGTGAGGCTATTGAGGTATTTTCTAAGTAACTATATGAAACATGGGGAGCGGGGAGCAGATCTCCCCTTTGTGAGTCGTTGCCTCACGAAGTTTGAAGAATAATATTTAAGAACTAAAAGGAATTGTTAGTAAAAGGGTGGAAATTTATTAGATGCAAATACAAACTCCCCCATAGGGAGGGGTCAACCAATCCAAGCTCCTTTATTCTAAGGTTTATAAATGCAATAGTTCTTTGTCTCTTCATGCTCACTTCTAATTAGACCCCTTCCCCATTTTATGACTCTGATTTTGCAGATTTGTCAGTCTTTTGCAGAATATCAGCTTCAAAGCCCCAAACCCACATGATGTCCCCTCTATCTCTCCCCCTTTTCTTGAAACATTTCTCTATCTCCTGTGAAGATATGTTTCCCTTTGTCCAGCATTTGTCGACATTTCTCTGTTCTCTGTAAAAGTATGTTTTCTTCTTCCTGATACTCTGTGACTTTGCTTTATCCTCTGTGAATGAATGGTTTCCACTCCCCTTATCCTGTGGCACCTTTCTATTCTCTGTGTATGCCTTCTGGCAGCTCCAAGCCCTCACCTATGCATTTGTCCACCATGGGCCCTCTTTATTTCTAAGATTCCCTAAACCTGCCTATTTGATCCCTAAAATTCCTTTCATTATTATTATTGAATTAGGTGATAAGAATTGCAGATTAGCCATATGAACCAAATCAAGTGGTTAAAGAGAGAATGAAAACATGTGAAAATTAGCTCATAGTTATTCTGAGGGTAAATGAATCAATTTATCTGAAAGCAATTTGCAATGCAGTAAAATAAGTTTATATTAATTTCTATCATCTAACATTTTTTTTAAAATATATTTTATTGATTTTTTACAGAGAGGAAGGGAGAGATAGAGAGTTAGAAACATCAATGGGAAAGAAACATCGATCAGCCGCCTCCTGGACATCTCCTACTGGGGATGTACCCGCAACCCAGGTACATGCCCTTGACTGGAATCGAACCTGGGACCTTTCAGTCCGCAGGCCGACGCTCTATCCACTGAGCCAAACCGGTTTCGGCTATCATCTAACATTTTAAGGAGTTGAAGATGAATGCTAGTAAATAATTTACTATTTTAAAGTTAATTATTGTAACTCTGGTATTCTGTTATCTTTTTCTGAATTCTACTTATCGCTTGCAGAGGAAATACAGTAAATCATTCACTTATACTACCACTACCTGCAAACATTCTGGCCAAAATGAAAATGCCTTCTATGGAACTTTCAGGACATAAGAAATGTCTCATGATCTACACCACCTTGCTTATCTCTAATCTGAATATCTGAACTCAATAATTTAACAACACTGGACTCTTGGCATCTAATGTTAGTAAATGGCTAAATTACACAATTTTTACCAAATATATTCACAAATAGGTCATGTCATATTTCCATGTATACTCTGATTTGCTCCACATTCAGTTGGGTATTCTTTCATTGGCCCTTTCCATAAGCAGACCAAAAATAATATAATAACCCTGAGTGTAATGTACTAGTGAACTTGATAGTTATAAAATATATCTCTGTTCTCTTGTGTCAAGTGGAAGGCCAATATTTTTCCAATTTTAATAATTTCAACAAAAATAGTGCTAGAGAAAAATAGCAGGGAAAATGTGTAGCAGACATTAATGATGTACTAGCAACTAATAGCATTTTACTAATGGCAGAAGGAGATACCAATCTAAGACTTCCAGAAGGAAGAAACATGAAAAAAGTAAAGTTTATTTCAAAATAAAATATCCGAATTTGAAATGCTTTCAATGACATATAAGGCTGGTGGTATAATTGTAAAATCCTTGAGGTTTTTTTGTTTGTTTGTTTTGTTTTGTTTTTGGTGTTTTCTTTTTCCCTTAGGAGTTAGAAGATTCAGTAATTGAAGGAGCCATGTTAAGCTTTGGGAATTTTGAAGAGTTGTTGACTTAGCAAAGAACCACAATTTATGTAAATGTAATGCATGCAAATTTTTAAAGATAAGAGGTAGGCATTTTTATAGTCTTACTGAAAGAGATACTTGCTGGGTGAAATGAGAGTACCCTGAAACTAGATTCTATTTATTGACTCACAGTGGATATAATGAATACAAATCAACTTCAATTGGAAATGAAGAAAATAAATAGAAACAAAAGTTTTTCAATGGAAACTGAAAAATATATTCAGATATAAGAGAAAATATTCTGAAAGGAGTAGCAAGAGGGAAAAAAGAATAAAAAAAGTAAATATGTGATTCTAGGCCTTTTGCTGTCAGGGAAAAAAGTAGTAAAGTAGTCATTCAGAACTGAAACTGTGCCAGTCACTCATCTTTGAATATTGCCACTGCTAGGTCTTCTTCAATCTATTTCCTATAAACAGCATCCTCCAATTCAACAAACTTCATCTCCATCTCAATAACTGAATTTTGGATGCAACCTAGACATCGTTATCTATTTGAACTATTCTACTACAGAAGTGTAGAATGTTGTACTTCTCCGAAACACCCCATAGATATTCTTGCAGATCTGTTTCACAATTTTAATTCATGTATATTATTACATCTTTTCAGTTCCTTAACCTTTTGATCACTTTCTATCTCTCATGTTTTATTTCCCTCTGTTTTTTCCTACACAAACTGTATTCCTTGGTGCATCACTTTAACCAGGCAGGTTGCTCGCTTCGGACTGTCCCCTCTGACCCTCCACTCTTTTTTCCAGTATCTCTGAAACAGTAATGGTTTTCACACTTGTGACTTTTTCTCCTTGTCCCTTTATAAGGTATTCCAAATGGTGATCATTCTTCTTTACTCCAAAATGCATCTCTAAAAATTTGTTCTGTGACAATTTCATTGAGAAACCAGAGATCATTTGTCATGAAACTAATCAATTATCTTTATCTCAAATATTAAATGGCTTAGCATCTTCATTTATCTGATTTCTTTCTTAGGCAGAAGAACAATCTACATTCGCATCCAAGGAAAATATCTCCAGAACTCTAGATTTATGTATCCAACTGCCTTTTTTCTCTCTCCACTTGGATATTAAGAGACTTCTCTTATTTTCCATGCTCAACAATAAATTTTTACCCCACACCTGAAACCTGCCCCAGGTATACGTTTCACATTCTCATCAATGTCAACTCTTACCTTTATGTCTCTTTGGAGCAAAATACTGGAGTCGTCTTTGACTCCACTTTTTTACTCATAAAATAATTTAATTTGGTGGGAAATCTTGTTGACTCTACCTCCAAAATATATGCAGATATAAAAATAGTATAGAACAAAAACTGAATTTCATGATTTTAAATATTAAACTCTGGGTAAAGAAAATGCCCTTGATTTTAAGCATAAACACATGGAAAATAAAAATAAAAATTACTCTAAAGAAAAAAATATATATGCATTTTTTCCATATCAAACAGTTCCCATAGATTATTATCAACAGCTACCATGATTTTTCAAATTTATAACGTAAAGCATGCTAATTTTATGAAATAAACTGCAGTAGTTTCCCATTTCATTCAAGGTGAACTCCAAAATTTTAACATGACTTAACATATCTAGCATATTCACATCCCTCATTACTGGTCTCACATCCTTCTATCCCCTGTCTCAGCTCATGCCAAGCTCAGTGGCACCGCATGTAGGAGTGGACCATCGAGGCGGCTGTATGTCATCTGAAAATCATGTTACATATCCTAGCTCTAGTGGTTTCAGAAACCACTAGTGGTTTCTAGTGGCAGTTTGAGAAAACCTATTTAAAACCGTTAGGTAATTGGATATTCAAAACTGATAAGACAGAATAAAGTAATACAGGGATAGAAAAAAGTAGGTTTCAGTTTCTCATATGTAAAAATACAGGAAGGTTATGATTATTACAATAGATTTATTAACTCAAAAGAATGTCACAATGGCATAGTAAACATATTTTCCCCACCCCTGTATATACTATTTGAGTACCTGCATTTTCTAATCCATATAACATTTTTTTTACATTTCTGTATATTTTTTAAAAATTGATTGTATCTGGTCTTAAGTTTTAAGCTCTTTGACAGCATGGATTTAGGCAAGTATTATATACTACAGGGTACAAAATATTAGTTTAGTTAATATCCCATTTCTTTACAACAAGATTCACTCTCTCAAACTTCTTTAGAATAATAAATACTTTGGAGGCTCTTGGATTTTGATTGTTTTGATTATTCAGATATGTTTGCCTACACTCTAAAGCACCTGAGGGAAAATAATAACCTCCTCTTCTTTACCTGAAATAGTACCCTGGGTGCAACAATCAATCTAAATGTAGTTCTTCAGTGACTTAGAAATAACGTTTACATCCATTTGGTTGTGTTCCATACACAAATATCCAACTGTATCTACATATCACACTTGGATATATAAAAGCAAAAAGGTTATGATATGATGAGGTTAAAATCATGATCTTTGAGCGATGTTAAGTATTTTAAATATTATTTTTAAAAAGAAAAGTTAGTTATTGAGGTATTACCTAGATTTCTTTATTTTCAAAGGATGCTCTAAGTACAACACAGAAAATGTGTTTCTGGAAGTCACCTTAGAGGTAAATACGCCACGTTGTATATAAAAATTAAAATAATGCACACAAGAAATTATTCAGGCCTGAACTAGACTGATATAATAAGAAATGAGCATAAATAAATATGAGAGACACTTTGTATGTGGATTGAAAGATTACCATGATTAATTAAGCATAGAACTTACCAAGTTAGTGATACATCCCAGATTTCTAACTGTATTTGTTTACATTTATCCAATAAACCAAGATAGAAAATACAGTGGGGTCTTGACTTACGAGTGTACTGAATAACAAGGTTTTCGAGATATGAGCCGTCTCTCGGCTGATTTTTTGCTTTGAGTTGCGAGCTAAAATTCCGGTTATGAGCCAGCTTCAGGTACCCCACCGCTCACTGGCGCAGCAAAAGTCACAGTGAACGCCACAACATCAGCCCAGCATCACGTGTCTCACTTGTTCACTTTAAGCGATTAGCTCTTAGTTGAAGCATCCGTGTTGTGCTCGCATTTGTGCTTGCAGTTATTTTGCAAAACTTTGTTTTTTCAACCATGGATCTGAAGAAAGTAAGTGTGAAGGACAGGGCTGAGAAGAAGAAGCGGATAATATGCATTGAATTAAAGAAAGAAATTATCGAAAAACATGACCAAAGTGTGCGTGTAATCGACTTGGCGAAGCAGTAAGAGCGTAGCACTTCTACGATCTGCACCATACTGAAGCAGAAGGAGTCGATACAGGCTCCAACTCCAGCCAAAGGCATTAAAATAATTTCTAAACAGCAGACATCTATCCATGAAAATATGGATAAGCTGCTAATGGTGTGGTTAACAGAGAAGCAGCTTCCAGGAGATAGGTGATGAAGGCTATAATCTGCAAGAAGGCATGAGCTATTTACGCTGATTTGCACTTCAGTGGATGAGGCATCGGGCGAGCCATTTAAAGCCAGTCGGGGCTGGTTCGAAAATTTTAAAAAGAGGACCGGCATTCACTCCATCGTCAGGCATGGTGAGGCAGCGAGCGCGGATATACAGGAAGGTGACATCAACGAGCTCATCCAGGAGCACTCCGAGGAACTGACAACACAGGAGCTAAAGGAGCTACAGACGCAGCAGCACATGGAGGTTTTGCAGGAAATAGATGGAGGAGGAGGAGGAGGTTATCTCTATAAGTGAGATAATGGAAATGTTGGGAATGTGGGAGAAACTTTCAGACTTTATTCAAAAGAAACACCCAGAAAAAATTGCAACTGGGCGTGCGATGGAGCTATTTAATGACACTTGCCTGACTCATTTCAGAAATATTCTGAAAGGGAGGATGAAACGATCTCATTGGACAGGTTTTTATCGAAAACTCCTGTAGATGAAAGTGATGAAAGCGTGGCGAAAAGGGCAAAAATCAGCAAATAAGATTCAGTTATTCAGTTATTCAGTTCAGCCTTTCTCCTCCAACTCCATCAGCATCTTTAAGTCGTTTTTGATCTCCAAGGTAAATGCTGTACATTAAACTTAAATACATTTTTCTTATTTAAAAACATTTAACAAAACAATTGCGGTGTTTTTTGGGTGTCCGGAACAGATTAATGGCATTTCAATTCATTGTAACGGTGAAAATTGATTTGACATACAAGTAATTTGAGTTACCAGCTCCGTCACGGAACGAATTAAACTCGTAAGTCAAGGCCCCACTGTATAGCTGGGATTTTTTGTGTGAGTGATGATCTGTTTTCACTACTTTTAATATTAGATTCCTGAAAGTGATATCTAAAAGGCAATTCTGAAAACAGATCTGAAGCTCAAAGATATGTTCTATATACAGTATATTAAATTTTAAGTTTTAACACACACACAATATCCAAAACAATAAAAGTGAATTAGATGTCTTGGGGAAAGATGTAAATTGTGGTTCACAAAGTCAACAGCTTACCCTGTAAACAAGTAAAGCATTCCAGATGCAAGAGTAGTAGCGATGGTTTAGAAATGGAGGCCACGTGCTCCTTTTAATGGAGCCAATGGATCTTCAACACTAGGGATTTGCCAGGTCATATAATGTTGAAGGAGAGGCACATGTCTATACTTTTACATACCCTGCCCATTGAATATTTTGGTAATTATCTTAGCAAGCAAATAAATGGTCTCTGCATGTTTTAAGTGAAAAGGTGGATTTCTGTAATGACATTTATCATCACATAACTGGTGGCATACTTCCCAGCGTTTCAGGTTTAAAAAGTGGACAGAAATCAGTTAAGTCTCAGTAGGCTTGACATTCTTCACATGCAGTACACATATCTCCAACATAAGCACTGAACATCAGCTCAGATTCACTTCTGCTCTCCTAACTTTAGATTCTAAATTCAAAAGGGAGTGTCTGATAAGGAAAGCCGAGGGCAAATAGCCCATGTGGTAAGTG